AAGTTCACATTCCATTATCATAGACGTAAGGATAATATGATTAAATTTTTTAATTATTATAATAATTCTACGGTATAAAAAATGATTATAAAATATTAAAAACATTATAAAAAATGATTTGGGTAAATATGATATTTTGAAGGTTTATGAAGGGTAAATATGATATTGAACAATTAAACTGGACAAATATGATATTTTGAAGTTTACGAGGGGTATATATGAAATTCTCCCAATAAAGAATACAACCTTTTATACATATCTATATTTCATATTAGTTTAATCTTTGTCATTGATTTTTTATTTATTACAAAGATATAGGAAAATATTGTTTATAAATCTTTAATCTTCATTCATTTCTATTTAATATTTCTTTTAAACTATTTGTATACTATTATTAAAAGAGCATCAAATGTTTTAAAAAATAAGTATTTGAAAATTTATGATTTATAATTAGCTCTTTTCATTTTGAATATTGTTGCTTACGTATTTATAATTTAAGTTATATCTTATTTGAAAATATTATTTAATTGTATATTTTTTTAGTTTTTAGATTTGTTATTTCATTGTACAATATGACAATTTTATTATTAATTTAGACATAAAAAACATTGTTTATATCTTAAAACTATTTTGAATATTAATTTAAATTAATAATTATATAGCTACAAACAAAACATCTACATATCTTTAAAAATAAGTGCTTGCAAATCATCTATAATTAATATTATGTTTTTTAAAGTGTCAATATTGTTTTACAAATAAGAACACCTATTACGCTCAAAATAAAATAGAGAAATAAGAAAATTAAGAAAATTATATTTAGATAATAAGAAAATTACCATATAACAATATCATTATCATTATTTATTGTGTTTTTTTTACTCTATTTAAATTTATATTGTATTGTATAAAATCTGTCTATACATACAAAACGTAGATCGGTATTCACAACAATGTATATATTATTTTAACTAATCATTATAAACTTATAGACAAAACTTATATCTTTAATAATTTTTTATAATTTTTTTATTTTTTATTATCATTTTAAGTTATAAATAGTGTTTTTATTTTTTACCGTGGAAAGTTTCCACGTGTTTTAACTTAATATAAAGATTAGTATAAAGAGTCGTAAGGTTTTGACACATAGAAAGGAAGATTTGTGTTGCCCGTTCCAAAAAAAAAAAAAAAAAAAAAGAAAAAAAAGAAAACAAACTATCTCGTCGGACTAGAGATACGAATTACCAAAATTTGCAATTATAATGGCAGCGAACTATGGTCATCGGATTTGAGATACTAATTACCAGATTGTAATAATAATGGAAGCAGCTATCTTGGAGTTTATTTCTACCGATTAATTCAAAAACGTATAAATTATAGCCGAATCTTCTACAGAATTCGTCTGCCGCCTTCAATCAAGGTAATTTTTTTTGTCGAATAATTTTACTTTTCGTTCTATATTTCAATTTCGCTTGGTTGATTACTTTTAATAGTTAGGGTTTAATGACCCATATCTACGCAATTCCAGTACTTGTTCATAGCTTTTCTTGAAATAATGATTTAACTAGCTTTTGCAATCTAGTAAATTAACCAGAGCTTTTACTGTTTTTTAGATTTCTTGAATATGTTAATATAAAAATCCAAACCTTTGATGGTTTTATGTTTCTGATTTCTTCTATGTATTTGATTACAAATTTTTTAATTAGATTGTTTAGTGTTGGGTAAGCTTGGTTCTTTTGAATTTTTTTCTTTCATGTTAGGTTTTAATGCTTTAGATTGGACACCATATACAAATCTATATGAAATCATGAAATAGTTATCTATTACAATCATTCTTATCTTCTAAAATTGCTACTATTCACTCTGCGTCATGTAGGACTTCCATAATATTTATATTTTATAGGCAATTATTTGAGATGTGTAGGTTTGTATATGACTATATGTACACGTATGTTTGTCTTGTGTAGATAACTCTTATATCTTATGTGGAACATGCATTTACTAATATCTTGTATATAATATATTTTTTGCAAGTGTAGGAATGCCTAAGGAAAAAAGTATGACTAGAAACCTGAATCATGATGATGATGCATCTAGCAAGTACAGGTTCAATACTTGGGACAATAGAGTTGCAGTACCTTGGTCAGACCTTAACCATGTTGTGTTGTTTTTAATCATGATGAAATTCGGAGTCATTGATTTTATTTCATTTAGTGGAGTTTGCAAGTCATGGAGGTCACTTGCACTTGATAACAAAAGCAGGTTTATGGCATCCAGACCACCCATGTCGATGTCGATCTCTAATCGTGCATATGAAAAAGAGTGCTACTGCATCCTAGAGGACTTTGAAGAAAGAAAGTTCAAAACCCTCCTTCCCCATTCCGTTGGAAGAATTTGTGTTGGATTAACTTGTGGTTACTTGGTCTTGTTCGGGAGGGAAACCCGTGACTTCTGGCTTGTGAATCCTATCACAAGGCAAGAACTTCATTTCCCTGATGTCCCTGACTATCTACATCGTGATGTACCAATAATCAAGGCTATCCTTGTCTTTTCACGTTCCATATCTGAATTCGTGTTTGTGGTAGTACATAAATTCACCAATATAATATGGTTTTCTATATCGGGTAAAGGAGCATGGAATCATGTCCACTCCACTTACCCCGTCCATGATTTACATGCTTTCAAGGGGAAGGTATACACCTTAACCAACGGTTGTCGTTTATTTGAAATGAGACTCAATCCAGAGCCCGAATTGACATTACTTGACATCGAGAATTTTTGGAAGCCAAGTTTCTTATATCCTGAGTTTGTTGTGAATTCAGGTGAAAACCTTTATGTGATGGATCACAACGTATTCAATCCATACAAGTTTGAAGAACTAGATTTTGGCAAAATGATGTGGGTAACACTAGAAAAGACACTTACATTCTTTATTAGCAACTTGAATTGTTATTCTGCTGCTATTAACCCAGAGTCGTGGGCAGACCATCCGTCACAATACAAAACATATTCTTTCTGCCATGTCGACAGTATTGATAAAGATCGAAAATACAAGCTCTTTACTGACATCATGTGGTATTTCCCCCATCGTTGTTTGGATGTTGATCTCATAGACTAGTGATAGACATTTTAGCATTCTTATCTTTCTTTTTTTTTCTTCTTCTTCTTTTTTTTTTTTTTAATCTTTGCGTATGTTGAATATTATTTTTGACATTGGGAAATTAAATATCATTGGTGGATTCGCAGCTTTCAACTTACGCCTTGTTCCCGAGTTTTTTTGCAAATTCATTAAAGGAAAGGGAAGGAAAATTTTGACAGAAAGAAGGGGAGGTGAAGGAAAATATTCATTATTCCGTGTTCCCGAGTTCGAAGGAAATGAAAGGAAAATTTTAAGTTTTGTGTTCTCGAGTTAGGAGGAAAAAGAAAATATAACTTGAAATTTTTCTTCCCCTCACTTTCTTCCCAAATCCGCCCAATTTGGGAGGAAAATTTGGAAGGAAAATATGGCTCCAAAATCCTTCCCCTCCCCTCACTTTCTTTCCATTAATGAAACTCGGGAACACGGTTTTCCTTCGACACCCCTCACTTTCCCTCCGTATCATTCCATTTTGTTCCATGTTTGCTTTTGGTGGGGACTACTATCATTTATATCTTCCTTTTTAAGGGTGTGAGAAGGGACCATAAAAACTTGTAAAATTAAAACCTCACGATTACATGAAATTGAAATTATACCCTTTTAAATTGTAACTATACCAAGTGACAGATGAAAAGGAACATATTTGTCACTGAACAAAATTTTGACAACAAAGATAACTTGCATATTTAATTATACCAATTTAGTTTTGCTTATCATGATCTTATAAGTATTGGCGTGTAGTTCTGTTCTTTTTCAATGTTCGCTAGTTGTGAGAAAATTGTTTGAGGTTAAAAAAATGATAAACCAAACCATTTAAGCGGCCCGTGGAACCCACTCTATAGCTCATCAAATGGGAGGTCAATCGTGGAACAAGAACAATATTTAGGACATGTCAATGTTTGAACACCTCAATCATTAGACTCTATCGTGGGGTCAAAATTTGTTTGAGGTTATATGTGTAAACATTTGTCTCCTTTTTGTATATCAACAATTGTATTCACATGAACATCTCAATCTTAACATTACTTAAGCATGGTTTCATTATAAAAACACATCTATCCTTATCACTTCATGCTAAATTATCTATAGGTTAACTTTTATATCTTACTTTAAACATGGGAAAGGTTTCAATTTAAGTTATCAAATAAATGTTAGTTGTTCATCAAACTTTTTTTTTGTCTTGTTTTGTTTTGTTTTGTTTTTTTGTTTTGTTTTTGTTTTTGTTTTTTTTTTTGCTGAAGATAGCATTAAATCCATTTCGTGCTCATTCCATCCTCTAGTTTGTCTCTCTAGAATTTTAGCTTTTTGAGCCCCGAAGTATTTGTAACAAAATGATGCAGCGATGGAAAGCCGACAGAGAGAAGTGTTTGATGATGAAGTTCTATTCGCTACTTTCCACGTTTTTTGCTAAACAATCTGTAAGTTGAGTTATACTTACCGTGCTTTAATTGTAACTTATATTTATGTTTGTAAACGTTATTATGAACTTATAAATATGATTCATCAATAATATGATTCGTTATACTGATCAATCTACTTACGGGAGTGATGTCTAGGCTAAGATTTGTGAGGTGTTTCAAGTGTATTTTCCAAACATTGTATATCTATAAACTAAACGGATCCTACCTCCGATACGATCTTATCCGATTGTTTCTTATCAGCTATAAGTCAATATTCTTTTAGGATTATTGATAAGTCTGAGAGAAACATTATAACAATTAAACTTAATAAACACGGACGAATACTAAGGCTTAGTAATATTCGTATTTAGGTTGTTCAAAAGGAAAAACTAAAGCGTCAGTCAAGGATCTGACTTTCCTGCAAGTCTTTCACCTTCAAAAGGTGAGTGGATAGTTACTTTCATGAACATGAATTTAATACAAGTATTTATTAAAAAAAGTATTAAATATCTGTTGAAAAGCTGATACGCAGTGACAGAGCTTGGACATTTATTTGGGGGGGGGGGGGGGGGG